ATAATATCTGATATGTTATTTATTATATATAATTTTATTATATAATTATATGCATAAATAAATGTTATGGCCATCTTATTATTAAATAAAGACAACAATTATACATAAAAATGGTGAAAAATGGGATCCACTACATGTGTCACAATTAAATATTTTATTGCAAAATTAATTAACTTTTATCTGTGTGGATAAAATGATCATTAGTGAAATAATTATAAGTGAAATAATCCTGCCTATAATATTATTAACAAATAATAACCTGTAAAAATAATAACAAATCACGTGATTAAAAAATCTTTACTACTATTGGAACTTTTTTGATTATATATATTAAACCAATTTTGTTTTAATATTTTTTTTTCTTGATTAAAATAAACAAAATAATTAATAAAAATTCGCAGAATATTTAATATTTTTCAAATGACTTAAATGACAGGTCATTTGAGTTGCAAATGACAAATGACAAATGACTTGTCATTTGAGTCATTTGTTCATTTCAAGTCATTTGCCGAACACTGCATTAAAGTATCTATAATTTACTTTTTGTTAACTAAAAAGTATTTATATTTTACTACTGGTATTTATCAATATATAAAATGATGTTTATAAATAGCATGAGGCTAAGTTTCCTTGTCGCGTAACACTTTTCAAAAAAATTAATTAAAACAAAGCTTTTAAAGCGCTTAACTAGACGTATCTTTAATTGCTCTAAAAGCTGGCTTAGAATTAATAAGGAAATTTTAATTCTGGAATATAAAAACTAATTTTATCGTTTTGTCAGTCATTTCATGACGAAAAAAAGTTTAAATCGAAAATGATATTCAAAACTGCCTTTGTCAATATAAGTAAACTTGCAGAGCAGTACTCATTTCGTGTAACCATAATTTCCTTATATGGAAAATATATTACACAAAATATATAATTCCAGCCGGAATTATAAATCACGTGGCATAATGCTGGCCAAATTTACTTATTTATATTTCATAATGAATTTTATATTATGAAAATTGCTGCGCCACAATGAGACTTGAAAGTTGAAACCAGTGTTGTGATCTACATGCATTCTGTATTACCTAAACGACTATATATATACCACATAATAAAAGCGTTTAACAATTAAAAAATTTTTACATATCTTTTAGGGAGAGCTTTGACACAATTATAAATAATGGCTCAGAGTACTAATGATAGGGGTAAAAAGAATATAGTAAAACAAATTGGCAATATAGTAAAACTAGTATCAAGTAAAATCAAGAAATCTAAAGGTAAATATAATATATTAAAACAAACTGAAATAAAAAATTTATATTTAATGTTTTCATGGATAACTGAAATAAATAATATTCAAAGCTCACAAAGATAGTGCTGATGATGATCATAATGATGAACAAAGTTTGGGTAACTATAATTTTTTATAAATTTTGAATAACTTTAAATCTTTTTAATATCTTCATAGATAATTGGAAAATTTTGAAATAAACTGAATAACTTCTTTATATTTTAATTTGTATGAAGATCCTTCAACTCACAAAGTTGTCTCAAAAAGTTTTGGAAATGCTGATATTTATTATGATGAACAAGATTTGGGTAATTATAACTTTGGAAAATTTAGATAGCTTTTAATTTAATATTTTCATGGATAACTGAAATAAATAATATTCAGATGATTATCATAGTAATGATGAACAAAGTTTTGGTAACTATAATTTTTTATAAAATTTTAAATAACTTTTCCTATTATTACATAATTGTATAATATTTGAATGTAATTTAAACTAACTAAATTCTTTATTTAAAAAATTATTTTGTAGATTGTAAGTTAAAAGTTATTTTTTGATTCTATTATTACATAATTGTATAATATTTGCATATAATTTAAACTAAC